GAAAATATTATAATTTATTTCAAAAGTATTAAGATTTATATATAAATAAATATATTATAATTTATTATATGATAAATAAAATTTGATAACAAAAAGTATACTAATTAATTAGAACAAGTGTTGTTGGAGTTGCACGTGGGATTATAATTGCTATACATAATGTTGGCTTTACTTTTGAGTCATTTTATTTTATATATATAAAAAAAATGTGGTATATGAATAATTTTGAAGATAAAAATGATATATCTCTAAATTAAAAAGATAAAAATAAGATAATATTTTTTATAGACTAAAACCAAATATTTTACGAATACCAAAAATATATTCTAGCTTTTTATAAATATAATACGTAGAAAAAACTAACAATGAAAATAACAAAAATCTATAATCATAGCACCTTATTATATTTAAGTATAAAAAATAATTTTATTTTTTTAATATAATATAAAATTATAATAGAATTATACTTTTAACAAAAGATGTACATGCATCCTAGACAATGCCTAGAAGCTGACAATTATAATTTCATATTTCATATATTATATGAAATATAATATAATATAATATATAAAGTTGTTTACAATTTGAACTTGTGCAATAATTCTTTATGTAAATCTCTATCGATAGTTTCAATATGTTATTGACACTTTACTTAATAATTTTGAAATTGTTTTTTCATTTTCGATCTATTAATCTCTGTAATTAAAAAAGACCATCATTAATATTATAACTCTACAATAAATAGATGAACATTTAATAAAAAGATTAAAATTACAAATTTTAAAAAATTAAAAATTGAAAATTAAAAGAGATTAAAAGTATAATTTAGTCTATATATTTATAATCTTATCATATTTAATGATTTTTTTTTAACATAACTTTTTCATCAAATTATTAAAGAAATTCCAGATTCCACTCAAACCAATAAGATGATCCCCACGTAACAAATTGTTTGGTCCCTTCGAAAAGATGTTTCATTATAGAAGTGGAAGTTCCGTGTATAGATTGAATAGGTTGCAAATTAAAGGCTCAGAACTTTCCACGTATAATTTTTTATCAGAATATTTGTCCGGAGATATTGTACATGTTTTAAATCTTATTTAAAGAATAGTAATTTTACGGTAATATTTATAATTTAAATTTTATAGTGAATTTAGCAATGAGATATTGCAAGAAAGGTACAACATTAAATTTTCATAACATCTTTCTTTCTTATGTCGCTACTACGTATCTCATTTATTTTTCGTTTCTTTTTGTCTTTTTTTTTTATTTATTATTATCACAGATTCTTTCTATCATTTTCTTGTTATAAAAAAGAAAAAACTTAGTAATAGTTGTTTAGGTATCGCTCATATTATTCTCTAATTAAAATTAAATTTTTTTATCTCGATAGTAATATGTATAAATGTATGTTAACAAAGATCACATTAAATATAAGTGTATATTATTGATGTAAAATTCCAATTCCAATCAGAGAACAATATTAATTATATCTAAAAAATTATAACTAAGTTTTTTCTCTTATAAAAACTAAAATGAATTACACTCATATCTCTTATATTTTTTCAAAATTACATATAATATTGTCATTCATTTAAATACATAATGAGTCTCCTTAAAAATTGAAACATGATACATTATTGTTCGACTTACAAATAATGTCAAATTTGTTAACATATTTGTATCATGTGATTTGTACATGACTTTTAGTTATTTTTTTTTTCAAAAAATAAAGAGATATTATTGAAAGAAAAAAATTATTAAAAGTCATGTACATATCGCATGACACGAATATATTAATAGATTAATTTAACATTATTTATAAATTAAGTAGATAGTGTAACATCTTTTCAACTTTTAATACATCTTATTGTACGTCCAAAAAAATGAAAGAGATATTAAATGTAATTTTAAATAAACACGAAAATGTGAGTGAAATTTTCTATAAAAACTATTATAGAAAAAGTATATACAACTAATAACGTATTTATAATTTGTTCTTGGTTATATGGAGGTGGAACTAGAAGCAACGGGCTGGCCCATAAACACAGTGACCGGATAGGATCCTAAGATCCGAATATTGTGGTCAGTTCTCTTAAGCTTTTTGTTTGCGTCTCGCCAGAAAAATCTGTGATGCAAAGATCCTCTTTGACACCTTCCACTAGATAGTAGATACTAGTGACTAGTCCCATCCCACCCATGCACCACAACACGTATTCAGATAATCCAACTTTCATTGCATATGCTCTTACATCATCACCACAAACCATGTTACTCTTTATAAAGAGGGACAATTAATCAAGCACACAGCAAAGGGAGACCCCAAAACCAAAAGAGAAAGCAAAACATATTACTCCTTTCATTTGCCTCTTAGTAACCATGGTTTTCCACACCAAGAACCCTCACTTTGTCTTGTTTCCCCTTATGGCTCAAGGCCACATCATCCCCATGATGGACATTGCAAGACTATTGGCGCAGCGTGGAATAATTATTACCATTTTCACTACTCCAAAAAATGCATCACGTTTCAATTCAGTTCTTTCTCGTGCTGTTTCATCTGGTCTCCAAATTCGGATAGTTCAACTCCATTTTCCATCAAAAGAAGCAGGACTACCTGAAGGATGTGAGAATGTAGACATGGTAACTTCAGAGGATATGTACAAAATCTTCTACGCCATCAACATGCTCCAGAAACAAGCAGAGGAATTGTTTGAAGCATTAACACCCAAACCAAGTTGCATTATCTCTGACTTTTGCATTCATTGGACGACACAAGTAGCTCAAAGGTATCATATCCCAAGGATTTCTTTCCATGGATTTTCGTGCTTTGCCCTCCATTGTCTGCACCAAATCAACTCTTCAAAGGTTTGTGAAAACATCACTTCGGAATCCGAGTACTTTACTATTCCTGGAATACCTGACCAAATTCGTTTAACCAAAGAGCAGACACCTCTAATGAACTCAAATTCAGATAAAATGAATGACTTTAGGGAGCAAATTCGTGATGCTGAAATGAAGTCATATGGAGTAATCATAAATACGTTTGAAGAGTTGGAGAAGGCATATGTGAGGGATTACAAGAAGGTGAAAAATGATAAGGTGTGCTGCATTGGTCCTGTTTCATTATGTAACAAGGATGGCTTAGATAAGGCTCAAAGGGGCAACCAGGCCTCAATTAATGAGCACCATTGCTTCAAGTGGCTAGATTTGCATCAACCTAAGTCTGTGCTCTATGTTTGTTTTGGAAGCTTGTGTAATTTGATTCCTTCGCAGCTTGTGGAGCTGGCCTTGGCCTTGGAGGACACTAAAAGACCATTTGTATGGGTTATTAGGGAGGGAAGTAAGTTCCAAGAGTTGGAAAAGTGGATCATGGAAGAAGGGTTTGAGGAAAGGACCAAAGGGAGAGGCCTTATAATTCGAGGTTGGGCTCCACAAGTACTAATATTATCACACCCTGCCATTGGAGGATTCTTAACACACTGTGGCTGGAATTCAACACTTGAAGGAATAAGTGCTGGCGTGCCATTGATTACTTGGCCTTTATTTGGTGACCAATTTTTAAATGAGAAGCTCATTACTCAAGTGTTGAAGATTGGTGTGAGCGTTGGGGTAGAGATTCCAATGAAGTGGGGAGAGGAAGAGAAAGTAGGTTTGCAGGTGAAAAAGGAAGATATTAAGAAGACAATATGCATG